TAAACCTGGTTTTATAGCTAGTAAAACCTACCACTTGTATGACAGTTGTTTATAATTACGTAATATTACCCAAACAGACATAATTGGGTTGTTGGAAACCTCATGATCATCGGTTCTAACAATCAATCAGTCACTTTACAACAGACGATCTACACCGATTGAACCATTTACCCGTATATTGAAAAAGGACCAATATCTATTTGCGCCAAAAATGAATCAATTTGTGCCACTGATTATTTTCGCCAATGCTACTTCTGCGCCACTTCATTTTGAAAACCATACGTTTCATATGCGCCATTAATAATCATAAAATTGCACCAATTTTATCAATTTATTTATTTTTACATATTATTTATATATATCTACTAAATGATTGACTTCCCTCCTCCTGTATCATCCACATCCACATCTCCTGGTTTAAGAAACGCTAATCCGACAAAAATGGTGTAACCATTTATAATGTCAGTTCAATTTTTCTTGTATTCTTTTGCAAGACCTAAATTCTGTAGACGAATCTACAAGACTGAAGGACGACGTTTGGAAGCATGTCTTTTACTATTTTATGCATTCGTTCTGCAAATCTAGATGAATTGTGTTAAAGTTCATTAGTGACTGGGTAATAGAAATGACAGTTTTAGTCATAAAAGGAGTTGTTTCTATGAGAAAATGAATTGTCTGTTTCACCCAAGTGCAATCTTTAGATTCAGATTTCAGATTCAATATTTTATTATAGTCTCACTACTTGCAATACATAAATATACCATACATACAGAGTATATACACAATATAAATCAGACAATTTACAAATATAAAATACAAGTACCATTCTATTAAGAATTATGAGAGACTGTAAAATAGATTCTATATAAAACTATTTAGATGGTAATACTCTAATGATGCCATATCTAAAAGTTGATAATAGGGTTGTTATCCGTGATGGGTTTTTTTCTTTTGTTTGACAAGACTATCTGGTTCATTTTGCAATCACATGATTCGTCACATTTAAAAAGGTTAAAGATTTAGCAAAGAAAAATAATAAATAAACATTGTACATCATTTAGTCAATGCTTTCCGTAGTAACAATGTTTTCCCTAAGTATAATGTTGACAATTTTTCACTAAGAAACCCAAACAGACATAACTGAGTTGTTGGATACCTCATGATCATCGGTTCTAACAATCAATTAGTCACTTTACAACAGACGATCTACACCGATTGAACCATTTACCAGCATATTGAAAATAGGACCAATATCTATTTGCGCCAAAAATGAATCAATTTTCACCACTTCTAATTTTCGCCAATGCTACTTTTGTGCCCCTTCAATTTGAAAACCATACGTTTCATTTGCGCCATCAAATCAATCATACAATTGCACCAATTTTATAAATTTATTTATTTTTACATATTATTTATATATATCTACTAAATGATTGACTTCTCTCCTCCTGTATCATCCGCATCCACATCTCCTGGTTTAAGAAACGCTAATTCGACAAAAATGGTGTAACCATTTATAATGTCAGTTCAATTTTTCCTGTATTCTTTTGCAAGACCTAAATTCTGCAGACGAATCTACAAGACTTAAGGATGACGTTTGGAAACATGTATCTTACTGTTTTGTGCATTCGTTCTTCAAAATCTAGATGAATGGTGTTAATTTTCAAGGGTGATTGGGGAATAAAAATATGGTAACTTTTGGTCTTCTTCCGACCGGCAATAAAATCCTTGGAAAAGTGGGGAGTCCGTTTGGCTGTGCAGGATTTACAAGAACGCAATCACGTCCAGTCAGAATGGGGACTTTAAATCCGACGCCTCGTTTAAAGAGAGTGCCACACTCTCTACACGATAAGAACCCTTCGAGGGGTCCGTATGTGACCTGTTGAAAGCCCAAATGTCTGTCCCTATCCAATATGCCCTCATTTATCAGTGGTAGTCTAAATTTCCCCGAACTTCATCCCGGACGGCCTCTATTACAGGACATACCTATTGAATTTATTGTTAAATTGTTCTCGTCCTGAACATGCATGAAATATTTGCCACTGGACGTTAAACCTATAACAATCAATCAAGTTAATGTTCAAGGTCAGATTAATTTTGATTAATAGTCAGTTTAAAGTCGATATGTTTAATATCAGTACTTAGAATATAGCAAAGTACTCTCGTTAAAAAAATATACAGGTAAATGTGGGGCAAATTTATACCATCTATTGGCGCAATTAATACCATCAGAAAAATAGAGTGAGCGCAATTGATAGCTTTTTAAAAATGTAATTGGCGCAAATTGATTCTGGCCGAAAATAGAAAGTGTCATATATTGAAAATAGAAAGTGCTATATATTGAAAATAGAAAATACCATATATTGAGAATAGAGTGTGACATGTATTGAAAATAGAAAGTGTCATATATTGAAATAGAAAGTTAATGATAAACTACACTGTAAAAGTGGTGTTTAGATCCTAAACACAATTCTAAGCACATTTTTTGTGCAATTTTTTTTACAAGTTTTGGTCTAAACGTGTCTCAGTACAATGTGTTAAGAATTGTGTTTAGGATCGTGTTTAGCTTAGAAATAAGTGTTTTATTCCTAAACACTTTCATTCTAAAACATATTTTAAAGTGTTTAAATTCAAGACATGTTTACATTTAATGTGCTTACTGAGAAATGTGTTTAGAAATTAAACACAATCCTAAACACGTTTAGATTTAAACATGTAATCCAAGTGTTAAATTTCTAAGCACGATTTTTACAGTGTATAAATATAAAATCTTGTTCTATATAAAGGGTTATATTTGAGGACAACGAGAAAAATATATTTGAAAAGAAAAAGTATTAGGGCGATATATTTACATCGATCCATTGTTGATCTGTCTTTTATACATTAATATATGACTTAGTAATATATCCTAAACAAAGCTAAAAAATAAAAAGAAATAAAACTTATGCTCAAAATCTACATTGGACGTATTTACTTCAGTGGTTTTAATTGTATTACTTTAAAGTTATCAATTAATGGCAAATATAATTATGCATTTTAATGTTATTCTTGGGGTAAAATCATGACATAATTTCATAAAGAATTTAAAAATAAGATAACAAAAGAAGCATTGCTCTTTTGGATTATAAATTTTAAAAGTCATTCAGAATCATTGTTTTGACATCATAGTATTCACATATCTTTGTGTGGGTGTGTGTTTTGAATTTCTGTATGTCACTATCTAGAATGTATGTACCCATGAGTAATCTAGCTTTGTTTTGTTCCTTTTTTTTAAACTTCGTATGTAACTGATGGTAAGGAGTTCAATACTGGATGTATTTTGAGTTCTGTTCTGTACAAAATTTAACTGAGTTTTTTTCTTTCATTTCGGCTTTTAGCTTACTTGTCTATTTATTGGCAATGGTTCAGTTGATTTGTTTCTTCCATTATAATTTTGTTGGGACGCTTTTTCTCAGTTCGTGAATCGGCATTAAATTACTATATTGTAGAATGTCTTGTACTCTTGGAAAGAAGCTTTCTGGATTATCTGAGTTGGCAATCAGCTGTCTCTCTGGTTATCTAAAGTCTTAGTTTTGTATTTTCACTTCTTTGGATGGAGTAAAGTAAGCTAAGCTGTCTTTTATGAAGCTCTGCTTCGATTGGTGCCAATACTTTGTCCATGTACATATTTTTAATCACTTGTCTTTTTTTTTTCTTGCAAATATCACTTATCAAGTAATCTGCAAATTTAAAAAAAAATTGTTGTGTAACTATAATTTCAATATTTTTAACCACATACTCCGCGCATGCAACAGTTCGTAATCTTCACTTATATGAAGCCGATACAGTATATCTGAAGAAGAAGAAGAAGCTTTAACGTGAGAGTACCCAAATTGCACCTATTTTGACAGTTTTTTCACCTACGTTTAATTATGATCCAGACAAAAGTTTCCCGCATTCTGTGTTTATTTTGTAGATGTATTCTTATTTACTATATAGTTCCACCAATTTAATTTTGAATCCACATTGAATTATAGAAAAATGGGTTTGAACCGACCTCCAAACGATCCATGATTCTGTAATGAGGAGTACCCAAATTGCATCCATGCTTAAATTCACATTCTTAAAAATCGAATAACAGATATTTTGTTTTATATTTCCTCAAATATTTAGAACAATGTGACATTAGTCAATGCTTACTTTTTATTTTTTAAGAAATGGATGCTTGTAACATGTTTTATTTGCTAATTTTTAAAAGATGACTTTTAGTGAACGTCGCATGGCGACGTTTCCATAGATTTTACTTTTTCCAGTGAATTCTTCATCTGATGATATATACAGTGACAATTTTTTTTTTTGCTAAAAAGGTGCAATTTGGGTACTCGATGCAATTTGGGTACTGTGACGTTACATGAATCTGCTTCGTCTGTGGACATCAGTACAATATGTCATAGCATGACAGAATACTCTTATCCTTAAAAGCAAATGTGTACAGTAAAAAACAGTCACTGTGCATTTCACATATTACCAAATCAAATCAAATCAAATCAAATATTTTATTGTCTTATAAACTTTACAGTTTGTGACCAACATGTATTAACACAATAAACATATATACATATATATCAAACAAACACAATAAAAACAGCATCAAAATTTATAAAAACAAACAAGTTGTTAAGAGTCCCTTGCCCTCAGTTCTAATGACTTTTTCAAGAAGGATCCTAACTTATTTGTTTGTAAAGGCGTTGATGGATTTAGTAAATAATGAATTTTTTCTTCTTCATTTAAATTATTAAAGTTATTATTTTCAGTACATATGTGTTCAAAAAAGGCATTTCTTAGTGTTTTATTATAATCACAATAGAGTAAAAAATGTTTCTCATCCTCTAGTATTTTACATTTATGACAAAGTCGTTCCTCTCTTGGGATTTTAAAATATCTCCCCTTTTCAATTAAGAGGGAGTGATCACTTAGTCTAAATTTACCATTAGCGTTTCTCTCCCCATACTCGTTACTCCCTAAAATCATTAGAAACGACAAACGAGTTAGTGGTGTACAGGTATATCACAGACAAAAAATAAACAAATAATTATCATCAACATCATCATCAATCATATAAAATTGCGTATTGTCTACCCGGACAGCATCTGGGTGCAGCCCAGCTGGTCCACCCAAGGCATGCCTTAAAAATAATCCACTCACTCTTACAGAGTAACATTTGTGGTGAAAATACGTACATATTTGACTAAAGGTTATGAGGAACCTTAAATTGGTTTCAGTTGAAGAGTCCTAGTTATAGTAGTCTCAAGTTTCCAGTTTTATACAGAAAATACAAGGATAAACTTTTTATAATAATCTTTATTTTCTAACCATTTCTGTTTAACAGGTTGGGAACAACCCCTCAAACCCCTCAATGTAATGACTATCCCTTTTATGAGGGGTACATTTCAAGTGATAAAATTTTTTTTTTTGTAAAAACCACTTTTTAGTACAAATGAGCAAATATTTATATTATTTCAAGAAACTTTTCCCAAAGAACTATACATCTATCTGGTATTATATGGTCAAAACATGTCCAAGAATTCTGTAATATTCCAGGACTTATATCTTCCTTATTATTATAAATAAGTGGAACCCTCTTCTAGAAAAGTTGTTCCAAATATAATAAATTTTTCCCTTTTTAAGTTGAAAAATCGAAGTTTTTCTTTTTTACAATAGTAAAACAACCCCTTGTCTCAGGGACAGTCCCTCATTTTAAGGGATATCCCTCATTTTGGGGGGTTGTTCCCAACCTCTTAAAAGGGGCACTAGCTACGAGATGTATAAAAAATCTAAAGTATGATTTTTTTTTTGTTCAATCATTAATGAAAGTGAAATAGTGAAATAATAATCCGCTTTTAGCAGCCAATATGGTTCAATTTTGTCAAATTAAGCTAAGAAACATTCATGATGAATTATTCACTTGCAAGTGAATAATTCGACCTCATTAAATTCGTATTCATGTAAACTTCAATTTAACCCCTTAGCTAGAGATGGATAACGCATGAATTGTGCGTGTTCGGTTATTTAAAGGAAATGAATGTCAACATTGAAAGTGAAACAAAGGTAAATCATTTGATTGACTGATTCGATCCACAAAAAATCATTCTTATACAGGTAAAAACGATGATTAACATATATTTTTAATCTATAATATGAAATTAAACAGACCTAGAAAAATCCAATTGCACGAGTTCGCTTTCTATTTATATCTATATTTATGTTAATATCGCTTATATGACCATCGGAGGTCAACTCGATAGTTAATTAGATGGCGTCAAGAATAAAATACACACAAAACGTAGCTACATATTATCGAGCCCATGCCCTGTAAATTGTTTATTTTAGACTTTTTATAATTTGGATAAATGTTTTACATGGTTATAAATCAAATTTGAGTCAAATCGGTGAACATGAATTTGACAGCTAGTGCCCCTAGTGGCTAAAAAACCTAAAAATTTACTCGAGTACAGACAGTTAAATAAAATTCAAAAATATTTTCTGTTATAGAAAATTAAAAATTTAACAGGATTTTGCAGTGCACTTTTTTTCATTCCTCCAGAAAGTGCCAAAATAAACTAAGTTGGGAAAGAGCTAGGTTTGAGAACTTCCCCACAGGTAATAATTGAAGTGAACTGTATTGATTGACATGGACAATAGATACCTGAAAATAATTGGTGATTTAAACTGTGTACCTGAGTGGACCATATCAAGTGAAACTCAACTGTTTGTTAATTTTATCATCTTCTGCAGGGAAGAAGAAAAGTGCACTGCAAAATCCAGTTAAGATTAAAATTTTCTAAAACATACAATGCATTTGAAATTAATTTATCTAGGGTATGCTATGCCTTAAAACTTTTCCAGATGCACAGGTTTGTCTGTACTCGGAGTAAATTTTGAGGTGAAAACGCAGCCATTTAGGTCAAAGGGTCCACATAAACCTTAAAACTTGAAACTTTGAATATGATTTGAGGAAAAAAACAAGTGGCTTTCTTTAAAAAAAGAAAAGCAATATGTGAACCCAAGACCGCTGACTAGTCACCAAAAAATTGTTGTTGAAGTTTTGTTTGCTTTTGAATTGAAATAATTGGCTGTGAATAGAATAAGATAATGATGATGTTAAAACACCTATACTGTGGATTCATTTATTTTCGTGGGTATCAATTTTCGTGGATAGAGAAAAAAAGACGTTTCGTGGTATACGTAAATTCGTGGATTGCTGATTAAAAAAAAAAAATTCAGATACGTAATTCGTGGATTTCTTTTTGATTTAGGAGATCATATAACCTCCTTGGTTTGATCAATAATAAAACAAAGAAAAAAGAAGGAATTCATTGAAAAAGTTTTGAATTGTCAAAATCCTCGCTTGGTCATTCTAGGTTAAAGTGTTCATTGAAAACTTCTATTACAATAATGGACAGAGACAAATAATTATTTGTTTGTTTTTACAATTTATAAATTCTTGTCGGAATTTTATAAGGCATTCAAAACTCTATGATTGAAAGCTCATTTCCCTAATCAGATATAATAAACAGTCATATAAGTAAAAGGTGTGAAAATAAATGTTCATGTCATAAACAATATTACCTACGGGCAATATCCCCGTACTTAATCCTATTGATTTTTTAATCACCAGTAAACCAAACTATGACACGATAATTAAGAACTTGCAGTTATTTTCCATGAAAAGTTTTAATCAATTTTAAAATGTAAATTATCACTGGTATTCGATATATTTATTATTGATTTAACCAAAATACTTGTATCTTCTTTCAATAAAAACTCGTGTTATGTTACAATGTTTATCGCTAGTCAACACTATACTAGAACTACATAACATAACCGGAAATAAACATCCGACTCCATACACATTTCTCAAGATTATTCTTCGTTGAATTCTTAAATTCGTGGTTCGCTGTGACCCACGAAACCCACGAAAATTGGTATACCACGAATAAAAATGAATCCACAGTATTAAAAATGTGTAATTGTGTGTAAATTCTTGCACAAGTCAGTTGAGAGCAATGTTGGATAGTTGTGAATAGAAAAGTGTATATATACAGCTACCATTTCAATTTACATTTTAAGGCTCGACTATTTTAATTATTACTTGGGAGTGTACATCATTTTTTCATAATCCTATTGCAAATCCCAGTTTCTGCAAACCGGATGTCTAATGCAAATTGCACAAACCAATCGCAATATAGATTTAAGCACTCAGTTTGCTTTATAATCTGGATGCATTAATTTTATCTATCATGTTCATATTTTGTTTCCTGGATGCATTCAATTATTCTTAACTCGTTATTTAAGCTGTCTGTACTCATGGTAGATGTGCATAGATAAATTTAAAGTCCAATTTTCATGTGAAGTGAAACCCTGTGGCATGCAACTTATAAGAAGGTTTCATATATTTTTCCTGAGAGTAACACACAAGCTTTATTAGGACCTCTTATTTAGAGACTTATTTTGGTCTCATAAAACATCTCAAATTTTAAGGATTTCCTGATTTTACATAAATCAATCCAAATATTCTACAGGAAAACTTGGTTTTAAAGAATATCTTATTTTCAGAAGTTTTATGAATACCTGAACATACTCTCAAAAAACCAATTTATATAAAAAGATATGTAGATATAAAAAGATACCAGGATTAAAATGTTGTACGCCAGACGCGAGTTAAATCTACAAAGAAACATCAGTGACGCTCGAATAAAAAAAGGTAAAAAGGCCAAATAAAGTTCAAAGTTGAAAGGAATTCAGGACCCAAAATTTCGGAACAAAGGTTTTGCCAAATACATCTAAAGTAATCTATTCCTGGGGTAGAAAATCCTTAGCATTTCGAAAATGTCAAAGTTTATAATAGGACAGTGACTCAAAAAAGAAAAGAAAAGAGACACAGCTAGAGGTCAGAATACCGTAAGTAATGATGACCGTGCTTGAAAGTCACATGTCAAGCTCTTACTGCCATGTTCTGAATTTAGATAAGAAAAGCAAAAATTCACATTCGCGAGCGAAATTAATATTTATGCATACAAATGATATTTTTGCGCAAGAAATAGTAAATAGAAAGCATACGCACTGATACTTTGGATAAGAATACGCATTTGCGTCATCACATATCATGCATATATTAATCTAATAGTTGAATTTCGGATGTCACCTACCTACCTCAAGTGTTTTGACTCAGGATTCATTGCCATTTAATCTGGAATTTGTGTGAACACAAACCAATAGCATGCGTGTGAACAGGGGGATATATAATGTGAATGAACTAAGACGTGTAGGATAGCTGGTCAATACAATGAATACAATTTTCAAAATCGTACCATAGTGCAAATATTTAGATGCTATAAGGTTGAACTATTAAAACAAACAAACAAAAAAGGAAATTGAAATTTTATAATTAACATACATTCCTGTTAATGATTTTTTTCCAAAATTTAGAATATGATATTAATAAACACAAACATCAAGTATTTACGGAAGGACATTTTATTTATCAAATCAATCTCTTCTTAAAGTCTAACATTCCACTATATGAATATATTGCTATACAAAATATAAGCAGAGACTTATAAATCCATACTAAAACAGTATAAAATAATTAACATTATGATAGTAATTAAATTTTGTTATGATTATTGTAAAATATTAGTTACGTTTTTTGTGATATGCAAAGATTTAAAATCCTTGTGAATTGAAACCATGCAAGTATTTTTTCATTCACGACCGTTTAAAATTTAGATATTTAGCTAACTTTGGGTACGCATCCCTGCTCATTGATGCTCATACGTTGCATATAATTTTCATAAATGTAATGACTGTTCAAACCTGTGAGACATGATGCACGTATATATGACAATTTTAATTATATTCTATTAAGAATAAATTCAGTCTCAGTTTAAACTTAATAATGAATATTCTCTTGGTCTGGTAGTATCTATTAACGAAATTAGATATTTTGACAGAAAAATCCTTTTGTTTAATTATCTTTCTGCTTTCAGACCACTGTGTTTCCAACCTAAGATAAATATTTATAACAGAAATATCGTTTTCTTAATTTTATTCATGCTTTCCGACATTTTCCCATGCTATGATTGAAATACAAATTATCAAATGATAAACATTCAGGAGAAATAATCAGTTTATTCTGGGACATTATATATCAATAAACTATTCCAAGGTTTATTGTCACAATGCACAACAGCACACTGTATTAAATACTACACACACAACGCATACAAGGACCGTCTCAAAGCATGAATTAAATAATTGCGTTATTATTATACTTGATATTTAATTAGCATTCGCATTATCAAAAACACATATGTTTTGTCAAAAGGCAAATAGGTTCTAACATATAAATTATTTTTGACTGCAACCTAGTCTTTATTGTTTTACTATCCAATCTACAAATGAACTTTGATTGTTGAAATATACAATGTCACGTGGTAGCCTATCCATAGAGGGACCGTATCAAAGACATAGATAACAATACCTGTATAAATGATTGAAAATTTTCGAGACGTTCCAACAATCTTGATTCCGAGGATATCGAATGGTCCTTAGAAACTTCCAAAACTCACCAATATATAGGCGTGAATGAGGGGTTCACGCCTATATTCAAATCTTCATAGTAAAAGTGCAACAGTTTTAGTCATAAAAAGGAGTTTCTATGAGAAATTGAATTGTCTGTTTTACACAAGTGCAATCTTTAGATGGTAATACTCTAATGATGCCATATTTAAAAGTTGATAATAGGGTTGTTATCCTTGATGTTTTGTTTGTCAAGACTATCTAATTCATTTTGCAATAACATGACTCTCTTAAAAAAGGTTATACTGTTAATTAAAGTTCGTTACTTTAGATAACTATTTGTTAATAAAATTACGTCTTTTGGAGTGTGCCTGGACAATGTATTTGGTCAGTTTTCGGGTATGATTCAACATTAACAATTTAACTTTTTTGTTACTGTTCATACATATGAAAGAAGACGTTGTCAAAAGTTCACCAAACAAATGTTCTCAGATACCAGTATAGAATGAACAGTCCAATAAAAAATGAGTCTCGGATTCAGTCACTTCATCAGCGCAAAATCTACAGAGTCTTTCTGCTGGTCATTCACCGATATAACGTCCAGTTTCTATCCTCGAAGGCAATATTCCACATCTGAATTGTGCTAAATGTGAACGTTCTACTTTGTCCAAATTTAGCTTAACATATTGTTCTTGTTCAAAAAAAGTTTTGAAAGTTATATGATTATTTTGTAATTTCTAACTGCTTCTGAATAACTATTGTATTTGTATAAGAACTGAAGAATAAAGGATTGTTATATTTAAGTGAACAAATGTCACAATATAACTTTTTATTTTCCTATTTTCCAACTTGTCAAATGGAAAAATAAATACCAAGGCATATCTTATTTGTAAAATTGTCCAATTAAACACTGTTTACATGTATATTAAATTTCCCCCTCATCTTCTAATAAAACCACCCTTGTATAGATGGTTCTCATGAGTTTACATCTATTTATTTTACTCAAATGACTAAGTATTGAATAAATAGATGATACCAGGCACCTGTTAGTATTCGCAATATGATTTAAAATACAACAAGTTTAAATTTGAATTATTTATTTATTCAATTAAATCCCTATCTATGTGTTGTATGATTTAATACAGACACATTATACACAGAAAGGAGCATACACTTGTAAATTATCAAATGATAAGCAAGTACACTTAAAATGTAGCCAAACAAAAGATTTTACAATATGCAAGGATTTGTATGTGGTGGGATCGCTATAATACAAATCCTTGCAATATGTCAGCAATTATAATTTTATCAATGATAATAAAAATGGAAACTTACAAATAATTATTTAAAGATTAAATGTTGATTCCTATAAAAAAAGAATCGTGTTGTATTTAACATGACAACAAAAGTAGTTAGTTCATTCAGTGTTAACATTTAGAACATTCATCATCTTCCTTAAAATAATTTCTACTCACTACTATACAGGTTTGGGCAAATTTTTGGAGTACCACAGTTTTGCAGATCTATGTAATTTTGTCTTTGGCTATATTTGCCAATTATGTTTGCATCTAATTGGAATTATAATTAAACTGTGGATTTACTTGGCCCAAACCTGTATTTAGTTTTTATTCAGCCTCAAGTAAATGTAATGGTTTCTTCACTAGACTCTGAACTAGTTATTTGAATTGGTTCAGGACCTGGTTGAGACTCCTTATACAGAAGTTGCATACTCACATTTACACTAGGAAAATACAAGCAGAGATAACCAATAAATATACATGTAGGATTTTGTCTGAGAGGTGGTAGCAGCACAGCAAATCTTACCAGGGGGCAAAAAAGGGTGGGGTTAGGGGGGGGGGGGGTTAAGAGTTATGATTGGATTAATATAATTTTATCAATGATAATAAAAATGGAAACTTACAAATAATTATTTAAAGATTAAATGTTGATACCTATAAAAAAGAATCGTGTTGTATTTAACATGACAACAAAAGTAGTTAGTTCATTCAGTGTTAACATTTAGAACATTCAAGCCTCAGTTACTTGTTTTTTAATTCATGTTTACCTGTCACAGTTGATTGACTTACTTCATTCTATAAACCTTGATTTAAATACTCACATACTTATTTTTAGATTCCTTTGGGCGTGACAACCTTAAAGATTGGTGAAATATTTTCTTTGAATAGATATTGATGGATTTATAGCCTGTTTTCAAATTGGACGTTTGTTCTTGTGAAGGAAGCTGCAAATATTTCTACTGGTGTCTTGTACAAGTATGTAATTATGATGAATTATTTTGAGATATATCATTCTGTAGTTTATTGAACTATTTATAAATAAAATAAATAATACACAAAATCCAAACCAAATCAGGAGAACACAATTGATGTTTTGTTATAATTATATGTAAACTGAAACAACACAGAAGATAGAAAGTAATTAAAGAGAACATTGTATTATACTACTTTTCTTAAAGAATAATATAAAACTGAGGTTACAAAATGGATTGATTGTTGTTTGCTTAATGTTGATTGGCAAATATTTCATGCATACTCAGCACATATTAAAAAAAAATCCTTTATTTTCTAAAAAAAACAAACATGTCAATGGATCTCTACATTAATTACTCTTAATATTACCTTACAAAGAATGAAGACTTTGAACTGATTTTCTTCCAATTAGGAAACAAAGAAATGTCTGAATATTTACAAATAAAAACCAGCTCATACATTGTTAGTTATACAATAAATTTATTGTTGTTAAGAAACTTGTGTTTTCTTCAGATTAGACACATTACATGTTACGTTTTCAATTGATTTTTATAGTTTGTTCTTATGTTCTGTTACACCACTGTCTCAGGTTTGGATAGAGTTTGGTGCTAAAAGTTTTAAGATAAAATATAATTGAGGGAATAGTTCAAATGTTATTTTCAACCATTTTTAGCACTTTTTTTATCTACAGCAATTTTTTTGATTTTTCAAGTTAAATCTACCTTATTTGGAATTTTTTTTTTTACACTTGTAACAAACGTGGTGTAACTTTTCAGTTTGGCACCCTGTGGTGAAATTAATGGTTATTTCTAAATCCCCATGGCTTGTTAGATAAAAAACCTATTATAGGTCAAGAAGTTGTATATTAAAATGTAAAATCTTGTTGTTATTAGGGCACCCAGCTGCATAATTTACTGTCATCTCCAAATCCCCTATAGTTGAATATTAGCTACAATAAACTGAGACATTGTGGGAAATTCACATGACTTACCTTTTCTATCAAACTGAAATATTTCAGTTGTAGGTAATTTGGAGATTTATTCACATCAGCCATGATGTGATTTTTTAATGAAAATAATAATATTAATATTAAACAAAATTAACAAATATAATTAGATAAAAATAAAATCATTTGTTCTTTTTATACGACCGCAAAAAAATTTTTGTGGTCGTATATTGGTATGACGTTGGCGTCCGGCGGCGTCCGGCGTCGTCCTGCGTCGTCCAAAGACATATTGGTTTTCGCACTCTAACTTTAGTTTAAGTGAATGGATCTCTATGAAATTTTACCACAAGGTTCAATACCACAAAAGGAAGGTTGGGATTGATTTTGGGGGTTATGGTACCAACAGTAAAGGAATTAGGGGCCAAAAAGGGGCCAAAAATAAGCATTTTTGTAACTTCAAAGACATAACTTGTGTGTTAGTGTATGGATCTCTCTGACATTGTACCACAAGGTTCCATATCACAAAAGGAATGCTGGGATTGATTTTGGGGGTAATTGCCTCAAAATTTTAGGAATTAGGGGCCAAAAAAGGGGCAAAAAACAAGCATTTTTCTAGTTTCATGACAATAACTTGTGTGTCAGTGTATGGATCTTTCTGAAATTGTACTACAAGGTTCCATATCACAAAGGGAAAGCTGGAATTGAGTTTGGGGGTAATTGTCGAAACATTTAGGAATTGGGGGCCAAAAAGGGGCCAAAAATAAGCATTTTTCTAGCTTCCAGACAATAACTTGTGTTCAAGTGTATGGATCTCTCTGAAATTGTACTGCAAGGTACCATACCACAAAGGGAAGGCTGGGATTGATGACGGGGGTAATTGCCTCAATATTTTATGAATTAGGGGCCAAAAAGGGGCAAAAAACAAGTATTTTTCTAGTTTCAGGACAATAACTTGTGTGTTAGTGTATGGATCTTTCTGAAATTGTACTACAAGGTTCCATATCACAAAGGGAAAGCTGGAATTGAGTTTGGGGGTAATTGCCGAAACATTTAGGAATTGGGGGCCAAAAAGGGGCCAAAAATAAGCATTTTTCTAGCTTCCAGACAATAACTTGTGTTCAAGTGTATGGATCTCTCTGAAATTGTACTGCAAGGTACCATACCACAAAGGGAAGGCTGGGATTGATGATGGGGGTAATTGCCTCAATATTTTATGAATTAGGGGCCAAAAAGGGGCAAAAAACAAGTATTTTTCTAGTTTCAGGACAATAACTTGTGTGTTAGTGTATGGATCTTTCTGAAATTGTACTACAAGGTTCCATATCACAAAGGGAAAGCTGGGTTTGAGTTTGGGGGTAATTGCCCTAAACATTTAGGAATTTGGGGCCAAAAAGGGGCCAAAAAACACATTTTTCTAGTTTCCAGACAATAACTTGTGTTCAAGTGTATGGATCTCTCTGAAATTGTACTGCAAGGTACCATACCACAAAGGGAAGGCTGGGATTGAGTTTGGGGGTGATGAATCAAAAGGGGGTTCAAAAAATTTGGGGGGGGGGGGGATTTTTTTTTTTTTTTCATTTTTTTTCTTTTTTTCCTTTTTTTTATCTTTTAAAATTTTCCATTTTAAGTTGGTTATTTCTGATTTATATTTAAAAGCAAATAATAATGATATGATAGGAGATACACATCAAACAGGATGTGTAAATTATTATATAATAAGTATTGTGCAATAGCAAGAAATTTTCAATTGCACAGTATTGCACAATAGCAAGAAATCTTCAATTGCACAGTATTGCGCAATAGCAAGAAATCTTCAATTGCACAGTATTGCGCAATAGCAAGAAATATCCAATAGCACAATATTGCGCAATAGCAAGAAATTGTCAATTGTACAGTATTGCTCAATAGCAAGAAATATTTAATTGCACAGTATTGTGCAAAAGAAGATACTTCGTATAAATTGCTTATTTCTTGACCAATTTCAATGGGGTTTTATTCTTGAATTCTTGGGGTTCTTTAATATGCTGAATCTAACCGTGTATTTAGTTTTTGGATTTTGGGGCCCGTTTTTAAATTGGTCCACATTGAGGTCCAAAGGGTCCAAAATTTAAACTTTGTTTGATTTCATCAAAAATTGAATTATTGGGGTTCTTTGATATGCCGAATCTAACCGTGTATTTAGATTCTTAATTTTTGGTTCCGTTTTCAAATTGGTCTACATTAAGGTCCAAAAGGTCCAAAATTAAACTTAGTTTGATTTTAACAAAAATTGAATTCTTAGGGTTCTTTGATATGCTGAATCTAAACATGTATTTAGATTTTTGATTTTGAGCCCAGTTTTCAAGTTGGTCCAAATCGGGGTCCAAAATTAAACTTAGTTTGATTTTAACAAAAATTGAATTCTTAGGGTTCTTGGATATGCTGAATCTAACCATGTATTTAGATTTTTGATTTTTGGGCCCCGTTATCAACTTTGTCCACATTGAGGTCAAAAGGGTCCAAAATTAAACTTTGTTTGATTTCATCAAAAATTGAATTCTTGGGGTTCTTTGATATGCTGAATCTAACCACGTATTTAGATTTTGGATATTGGACCATAATAGGTGAATGTCCAATTTAAAATTTTTCAGTTCTTAGACCACATTCATTCTGTGTCAGAAACCTATGCTGTGTCAAATTTTTAATCACAATCCAAATGCAAAGCTGTATCAAGCTTGAATGTTGTGTCCATACTTGCCCCAACTGTTCAGGGTTCGACCTCTGCTGTCGTATCAAGCTGCGCCCTGCGGAGCATTTTATTCAACTTATTTTGATACGGTAATTAGTAATAATACCAGGTAATGATTAGCCACTTTAATAATAATTCCCAGCAATGATCATTTAAAAGCGGCTACATTGATAATTTATCATTTGCTACGGGCAAAAACAAAATTTGAAGTACCTAGCTAAACATTTGATAAGTCACGGTTTTGACATGATATCGCAAGTGACCAATCTCTGTGTTATAGTAATATTCAGTATAGAATAAGGAGATGTGGTTTGATTGCCAATGAGACAACTCTCCACCAGAGACCAAATGACATAGATGTTAGCAACTATAGGTGACTTGTCGCTGTTTGGCCTTCAACAATGAGCGAAACCCATACCACATAGTATGCTATATAAGGTCCTGACATAACAAAATGTAAAATAATTAAAATGAGAAAACCAACGGCCTGATTTATGTACAAAATAACAAATGAAAAACAAATATGATAAACAGTCACAAACAACAACCATTGAAATACAGGCTCCTGACTTGGTACAGTCACATACAGTCACAAAGGCAGAGTTAAATTTATGTTTTATAAGGTTGCATGGAAGTGTAGTGCAGAGAGTCAAAAATTTCAATTCTGTCATTATTGTCAATCTAATAGACCACTTTCGAGTTATGTCCTTCACTGGAAAAGTTCGTCAATTATAGGCGCCTTTATGACGTCATTTATCAGATAGAGGAGATCGCCTGTATCCATGCACTATTAAAGTTCATCAAGCGTCTTTGTGATCGTCATTATGCAGGATAAACTAGAAATAATGTTTGTTCTGTAGGTACTTAATAACAATTCCCTAATGACAGCAGTGCTGATTATCAATTATAAGAATTTAATTTGTCGAATAATTCGTGCAATATAGTATCATATTTTTTCAACCACTCGCTCAACATGGAAAGGAAGTGACGATGCCCCTCAATGCACGAATGATGTTCACTAAAACCAAAGTTTTTGACGGAATGCAACGAACTCGAAAGTGGTCTATTGAAAGAATGTCATTTATCTAAAACATTCAAAGATTTTTTTTACACCAAAAATGATTAAATTCCATATTTCACAAATCATTTTTTTTAAACTATTAAACTAATAAACTTTAGAAATAACAGTAGTATTATATTCATCAATAAAAGTAACATCAAGCTTTTCCACTAACTTTTACAGTTCAATCTAATGTGCTGTTACACCCTTGTCTCAGGTTTTGGTGAAAGTTTTTTTTTATGTCCCCGATAAAAAGCCAGACGCTTGTA